AAATTGCTATTGTTTTTATAAAAAAAACCTTTGCTGTCATATTTCTATTTGTTTTTTCAGGTTGGAGAGCTAAGCGAACCTGTGTTCACAGACTCTGGGGTTCACATAATTCTGAGGACAGCCTGAGCTGATTAAAGAACACTGCTAGAGAATTACTTGGTGTGAATGTTGTCCGCCTGAAGCAGTGGAAATCAGACTTATATATTGTGAACATTTTAAAATTATATTTTGTCAATCCTGGCTGGGTTTTGAATATCATTTGCATGTATGTTTCGTATTTATGTCATCAGATTTTGTCTGTCTGTCTGCCTTTAAACAAAGTAGTCAGTAAATGACCCTCTTTATGCTGGAGACGCTGGCCATATGATCTAGACTCATATTTTATAGACCAGTTGACAACCATTTTAGTCTGGATTGACCTATGATCCAAGGTCAAATTTGAAGAAAATGTCTGCCTTAATGAAGATTTGAAACCAAGACCTTCGGAGCAGCATTTAGTCACTACACTGCCCCATCTATCTATCTGATTTTACTGTCCGTGGTTACCAGTTTTTAGGGTGACGTATGACAAACTGGTCTTGAGTCTGGTGATTTATTTAACATAAAGTAAATTTTAATATATTCAGCATTTAAATGGCATTGATTTGGACATGTATTTACCAAACAGACTACAGGGTTTAAAAAATTTATAACACATGTTATGATTGATGATAATTTGTTTCATGTTGAGCTCTTGAAAATATGTTGTGATTTTTGGTTAGTTCAACGTTAGTCTCCCAAAAACATGGAGAAACTGGGTCTAACACAACCCACCTAGAGAGTGCTGCAACCTGTGTCACAGGCATTCTCTTTCTAGGAATTAAAATGTAAATGCAAGACATTGCAAAAAAACAAACAACAGAGTGGGACATACCCGTAACCTTCCGGAAAGTCGACCAGTCCAACAAACTGACCCACTTTATTTGGGGAGACTAACGTTGAACTAACCCGATTGTTAATTGCTTCACGCAGCAGACCCCCAAAAATCTGACTGATAAGGGACCAGAGCATCAATAAACTCTGAAAATGTTCAGCAAATGAATTGTTTTTAATGCATACAAATTTCTTCTGCAAGAAAGTTAAATATGGCACACTGTAGGTAGCTCTTGTGAAAAGTACAAGTAGAAGAAAGATTTAATGTTGGATACAGCAGTATGATGGTTGACCACAAGCAGTGAGGACAAGTCACTGGATAGGGTAGAATACATGTTAACTCTTTGTGGGCATATCGCCCCTTTAGTGGCTTCTTACTCCATCACTTTGAGATGGATCGCCACTTAAATGGCTTCGCGCGTAGACATTCTAATATTGTTCTTGTATGAACATGCTTTAAAAAAAACCAGAATTAGCAAAAGAAAGTATTATTATTCTCCAAGCATGGCCAGGTGATAAGTTTAATTTTTGATTTTTAAAAATTATTCAGTGTGGTACAATTTGTGTGTGAACCAAATGGTACGGGGAAAAGGGTCTAGAACTGTTCATTTTGCTGCTGTCGTTGATGAATCTGAACCAGATAGTGACAATACTTCTAATTTTCTAATACTTTGATTAATAGTGCAAGTATTGCACTATTGCTGACAGTAAAGTTTAGGATGAAGCTAAACAAAATATGTCACTGGGATTGTCCTTGTTTCGATCAGCTGTATCCGGAATTCAGTTGTTGTGAAATTTGACATGTCATACAAATATGGTCATAAAATCAAAGTATTTAGATTAATTGTTTCAAATAAAGACTAGCTGATCCATAATTGAACAGAGAAGGCATGTGAATTCTTAGAAATGGATAGCATGGTTCTTGAACGAGTAAGGTAAGCACATTTCATGTGTTAAAAAAACTGCCTTGTATATCTAACATCCTTGAATGTTGTCTCATTTTAACATTTTATTGTTGTAATACTGATACTTAGATAGTTTAGATATATTCCATATTCGTTTCTCTTTAATTTGATATATTATATGTCACGATACAGCCAATACTTCTGCTTTGGGAAGTTTTTAGCTGTCATGTTGCAGTAAAATTTCAGCTCAAAATTAATGCTGTCCAAATCCCAGAACAAATATTGCCCTGAAAGAGTTAAGAAAACCTTTAATACTGTAACTTAAAAGTTATTTTATTAGAACTCTTCAGCAGTGAAGGCAGAGGGAGACTAAAAACACATAGAGATATCATGCTTGGTGACGCAGTCTTTTCGCCCTGAGAATGCTGAAAAATGGGTCATGAACTCATGAGAATACCCCTAAAATATCCTTTAAAACAAAAACCCTATTTTACACAGGTCACTAATAATTTAAAAAGAAAAAATAATCATCTACACTAACCAATAAACATGAAGGGAGGGAAGCATTAAATGGAATACATTTCCAGGGGCCTAAAACAATGTGTATTGGGTGACTCATTCCATGAACTTGCGACCTTTATCAACATAGCTTTAACAAAGCCACTGGATTCATAAGGAAACATCCAAATTTTATTTGTAGTTACTATATTCATCACATTCAGGCCTCCTAAACACTAAGCTGGCGCACAAAGAATAATGGTGTTTAATTAAATTTTTTTAAAAACAGGTCACGGTCACTACTGGAAGTGACTAAATTTAGCCTTCTTGGGGCAGAAGGGTTAAAGGTTAAGATTATAAAAAAAAAAATGTCTGACCTGTATTTTGAAGGTCCACCGTTTTCATTCTTATAAATGCTTTAAAAATTTTTCTTGATCCACTTCCCATTAACTGCTTTGATCGACAATCTTGTCAAATAAATCAAATTTTTCATCCTTATTTTGTTTTTTGCTCATTTTTGTTTCTTCTTTTTATTCATCTGAGTGGCGTAGGTGCATTATGCCTGTTTACAGCGAAGCTGCGATATTTGTACCTTTTGGCTGACACGTCTGACTTCATCAAGCATTTGTTGACCGGTCATTTTTGTTTAACGATTGAAATATGCTGTAAATAGGGGAGGAAAAACTGATTTAAGAGAAACCAGATGTAGTGTATTCCATACATGTTATGAGAAGGAATAGACTCGAAAACTTGACTGGAAAGGGTTAGGTAAGATAAATACTGAATGGCATGGCCAAATGTTTGAAACAAAACAAGAACAGTGACCTGATCTGTGATTCTAGTGATAACGTGAGCAGGTGAAATATGATGGCCTATGCTTGTTGCAAGATGATGCAGGAGCTGCGATTTCCATTTCCATTTTCCCATTCCACACAGCATATGGCCACTACCCCTGAATCCTGTCTGCTGTGTAATGTGTTCCTTGTATTTAAAAAAAAATATTTGTTCAGAGCATATTACAGAAATGTGGTGTCCTCTAAGGCCACTTCCACTGTGTTGTGAATTTAGATTCTTTAGAATGATGCATTGATAATTGTTCAAATCAGTTATTGCTCTAATGGGGCATTTAATATGAGAATTTTTGTGAGGGAAAAGGTTAAATATGAACATTATACTGACAGAGAGGGCTTCTGTATCCCCATTTCAGTTTAGATAGGAGTTTTACACCCCCCCCCCCCCCCCAAAAATTTTTTTTTTTTGCAGACATCTGTAGGAACTGTCATTGGGGCTATGTAGTTTACACTTTATTGGTTGTTCTCACCAGGCAGATGGCTGCTGTTGGGATAGAATGAGAGCCAGATGGCATAAAACCCAGTCCAAATAATAATGTCTTCTTCTTCTTCAGTGTTCCGAGCCCTTGATGTTCAATGCTGTAGATATCACCCAGCCTCCACTCATCTCTCTGACTGGCCTTCTATTTCCACTTTGTGACCCCAAGTGTTTACAGTTCTGTCTGCATGTTATCTCTCCATCATCTTCATGGTCTGTTTCTTGGTCTACGACCATTCAGATCCCTTGTGTATACAGTTTTTACCTCTCTGTCATTTGACATTCTCCCAATATGCCCCAACCATTTCAGTCTATAGGAGCTCATGATGCAACTAATCAGTGGTGATTTAAACAGATATGCATTTTTTTGTTATTATGAAAAAATTCAATAAGTATTTTACAAAAAAAAAAAAATCATATTAAGATCTTCCTGTTGCATCATCATACAGCACGTCCTTGAGAAAATGATGTTTCCATAACAGCACCCCTTAAAGAAATGTGGCCCTTCATTAGCTCGCCTGTCCCATGCACTATCCTGACCAAGGTGTCTCTAATGTCCTGTGTCCTCATTTGTGCTGGTCATCTCCTGCCTCTCTTACCCAGTACCATGCTCTCCACCACAGTTCTTTCCAGAACATTTGATATGGCCAAAGTATTTCAGTTTCCAAGAAAAAATACTGTTCACAAATTGCTCACTGGCAATAGGTTTATAAAATATTGCACCATTTTTTTTGCAGTGACTGGTACAGATAAATTTATGACAAGATTCACACACTACTAGAAACAAGCTGTTTCAAACCCTGGTAACCATATATTGTACACTTCAAGCCTGCTAAGTGACAGGCGTACTGAAGAGCGTTTGTGATAATACTGGTATCTACATCACTGCCACTACTGTCAGCATCTCTGGTAATGTTGTCAGCATCCCTGCTAGCTCTGTCTGTAGCTGTCCAGCCATGTTTCCAGAGACTACTAACAAACCCTGCCACGAACGTGTCGCCGGCACCCAGGGTGTCCACAACCTTGATGTCAGCTAACGCTGGAGCTGTTAGAGTAATGTCCCTGTAGCGAGCTGCTGCACCAGAATCACCCCATGCACATATGAGGACAGCACTGGAATAGAAGACGTGACTGACATCACATACTGTAGTTTGTAACAAAATACCTAAAACTTATGGAAGAAACATCATTTCATTCAAGGATCATCTTCACTGGACAAACATTAAAAGCTTACAGAGGAAGATATCTGCGCAAAGTACTTAGCTCTGTAACATCAGCTAGGAAATCGTAGCATCAATCGAGGCCTAATTTTAGCTGTTTTGAAATGCTGAATTGCATCATAACCTGGTTACGTTCATTTTCTTCATCTACCCTTAAAAGAGTGGCTGGCATGCCATGTGGTGGTTTACAGCTAGGCTGCAGTATCTGTGCTTTCAGTTCCATCACATCTAGAAGTCCATGCCATGTGGTGTTGGTAGTCATGTCTGTCAAAAATGTTCTGTCTCATGTACTTTCAATCAATTCTGACACGGCTGATCTTCCATGCCATGTGGTGTTGGTAGTCATGTCTGTCAAAAATGTTCTGTCTCATGTACTTTCAATCAATTCTGACACGGCTGATCTTCCATGCCATGTGGTGTTGGTAGTCATGTCTGTCAAAAATGTTCTGTCTCATGTACTTTCAATCAATTCTGACACGGCTGATCTTCCATGCCATGTGGTGTTGGTAGTCATGTCTGTCAAAAATGTTCTGTCTCATGTACTTTCAATCAATTCTGACACGGCTGATCTTCCATGCCATGTGGTGTTGGTAGTCATGTCTGTCAAAAATGTTCTGTCTCATGTACTTTCAATCAATTCTGACACGGCTGATCTTCCATGCCATGTGGTGTTGGTAGTCATGTCTGTCAAAAAATTTCTGTCTCATGTACTTTCAATCGATTCTGACACGGCTGATCTTCCATGCCATTAACTGTCCAGCATCTTCTCTCTTGTTCTCTCTCTGCTTATTTTTTTTCTACTTCTGATGTGGGCAATCAGTTCTGTTAGCCAGTCTGTTGTTGTTGAAGACATCAGTACTCTTTTTATGTATCCATAATAATTTCATTATTCATCTATAAAGCCATGTCTCCAATTGCTTCAAAATAATTTTTCAATAATTTTTCAAGGATCCATGATTCGCATCGGTATATTCACCATGTGGGTTCCAGGGCTCCACTGTGGGGACAACAAGAATAGACCCCACTGTCTCCTCAACAAGCATGTCGTAAGAGTCGACCAACTGGGGACTTCCTTTGAAGGCGGAGTACATCTGCCCAAGTGGCAAGGAACAACCAATTGCACACAAATAAGTCAGTTAGACGGCACAAAGATGTTTCGCCGAAGCTTACAGCTGGTGAACAAAGAAGAAGAAAAAGAAGACTTGAATATTCTGAAGGAAATGGTTTATATAGCTTATGCAAATTTTTTTTTTCAACGTCTTAACTGACAAGGACAAATTCTATATAATATTCTTCATTTTGTAAAATGCTGCCTTTGCTTGAGCTATTCTATGTTTAACTTCATTAATACATCTTCCATCTGCAGTTCTCAGGGTACCCTAAAACTTAAAACGTATCAACTGTCCCATTTACTATGATACTGAATTTGGAGGGTTAATTTTTCTTGTAACTATCATTACTTCTGTTTTTCTGCATCATGATACATATCAGCAAAACCCTATTTAGTTGCCATTCACGATATGCTTGTAAGGGGCCAGTGGTTCTGTTCTTTTTCCCCAAAATGGGGCCCTGGAACCCGCATATGGGGATGCGGGGATTCAAACCTGTGACAAGCAAGAGTCTTTACTATTTTTTCATTGCCAGAGTTCATGGCCTAGGATATTCCATCTATCCATTACTTGTGTGGGCGACCTCTTGTTCTGCTTCTGTTGTATCTGACAGAGCTATCAGTGGTGCACTATCTTATGGTAGTGCTGACACATGTCAGAGCCATTTAGTGAGCACGTTTTTTAATCCTGATCTTTTACACTGTTATCTTTTTTCCAACTTTGAGTTTCTTTGTACAGCATAAGTCAAGTTCCTGGCAGCTTTCTGTCTTTCCAGGTGATATTTTCCCCATTATGCTATAGTGAGGTATGGGAATCACAGATAGTGTTAAGAAGCACCTTCCACAATAAAAATCTAGGACAAAACTCACTCATTTTTACAGAAGCGGTAGAGACCTTCAACAGCCTTAACTGCCTCAGAAAAACCTTTGCACTTTGCAACATCCTTGCTGATGAAGACAATGTCAGCTTTGTCCATCACCAACTCTGCAGAGACAAATCATATACAATGACTGATGTGTTGCTTTTGTTTCTACTGAATCTCTTCTTCTTTAGCATTTACTTTTAAAAGAGCAGTTGGCATCTTATGGAAACAGCTAGGCTATGATATCTGGGACCTTCAGCCCAACTACATCCTAAGTTGCAGGATACGTGGCTTAGTCATTGCCAGAGTGACTCGTAATTCCAACATACCGTGATCCAAACCCACTGCTGGCCCGCTTGGATTTTTATCATAATATGGGCGTCGCCGGTCGACCCAGCATAAAATGGGTACCAGGATGGCTGTCCTGCGGAAGTTAAGATGGCTGGCGTAATGCTGACCACATTACCCACCCACTGCCGATTGGGCTGTAAAAATATGGGATGCTCTTCCCATATGCCTGATGTGCCTAAGGTGTAAAAAGTATCTTTACTTTTACTTTTACATCCTTAATTAGTCATCTTTTATGACATGCTTGTTAAGGAGTTTGGTTCTAGTGCTTAGCTTATGTCTGTTTGAATCAACACAGCACATGGTGTGTTATTAGTAATTTTTATGTTTGGTCTGCGTATGCAAAAGAAATCTGGCCAAATATTTTAAATGCAGCACAGTAATTGCTGTATCTTTGAATGTCAAATCATACTCCCCATGTAGGTTCTGGGGCCACACTGGGAAAATTAAGAATAGTCCCGCTGGCTTACCAATAAGCACGGCATAGGAGTAGACTAATTGGAGGTGTCCTTCACGGTTGGTTATACCTTCCTGAGGGGTGAGGAACCAAGAGTCTGCATACATATAAGCCAGATCTGTTCGCATCTGTTATACATATCTGGCTTATATGTAAGCAGACTGTTGGTTTCTCATCTCTCAAGCAGATCAGATTTCAAAGGAAACAGTCCTAATAACAGTCCTAATTAGTTGACTTTTTTGACATGCTCGTTGGTGTACCACCCCCCCCCCCCCCCCTCACCTACACACACAGAATGGGACCCTTGGAACCCACACAAGGAGGTGCTGCCCTAACATGGCTCCCAAAGTGGGCGAGCAATTTATTATTTAAATTATTTAAAAAAGTACACTAAGTGACAACTTTGGTCAAAGGACTTTTACCTGGATTTTTTAGTTCTGGCTTTTCAATCTCCACGGATAGTACAACACTCAGTCTCTGGCCATCTGAGGCTTGTGGTAGACTGTGTTTGTTGTTGAATGCAACAACATCATCAATCATGTGGGAGACATAATCAACTGATCTCCCTGCCTGGGAATGAACGAACAAACCATAGAATGAACTTTTTTTTCAGAGTGGACAAGCAATAAGTCTTACAATGACCCATCCAAACACTCCATCTTTCAGACCACAATTGTATTTTATCAATAAAGCATGTTATGTTCATACAACAATATATATATATATATATATATATATATATATATATATATATATATATATATATATATATATATATATATATCAAGTGAAAAAAACAAAAGCATGGATGGTAAATGCAAAAACAGACAAGCTGAAAACCTGAAATGATTCACTTTGAAAAGTGTAGTCACAATTGGATGTACTGAACCACAGGTTATGAAACTGCAATTCACTGTATAAATTGCTTTATGATGACGGTGTAATACATATATTTAATTACACTGTCTCTAAGCTTTCATAATCAAGCTTTAAAAAACAAAACCAAGATACATTCAGCATGTGTTTCATCTACCTCAAAATGAATCCAGGAATAATGAGTGAAGTCTCCGTGAAAAATCTGATGAAACTCATTATATGTTAGCTCTGGGCGGTCTCTGTATTGAATACAAGATAAGATATGGGAATATAATAGGAGATAGAATACAGGAATATAACAGGAAAAAGAAAATGGGAATATAATAGGAGATGAAATATGAGAATACAGTAGAACCTCGCTTAACGAGCACCTCTCATAACGAGTAATTCGCATAACAAGCAAAACAAATTGTAAAAGAATGACTTGCTTAACGAGCGACGTTTCACACAACGAGTGGCGAGGAGAGGGTAAGTCCCGGATTGTGCGCATGTTACATCAGTCTGTGTTTAGCACTTGTCCCAGTAGCATCGAAGTGTCGGTTGTGATCAGACATTTTTTCAAACTTGTGTTATATTGTGATATATGTACATGAATCCTCCAGGCCTATAAGATGACCTCCCTGAATATTTATGTTCATCAAGATCCAGTTTCTGCCTCCTAACACGACTACGTTACTCCAGCCCATGGACCAGCAAGTTATTTCTAACTTTAAGAAGCTCTACACTAAAGCACTCTTTAGGCATTGTTTTCAGGTGACTGAAGGGACCAACCTCACTCTCGAAAAGTGTTGGAAAAAATCACTTCCACATCGTTGCCTGCCTCAAGATGATCGACAAGGCAGGGGAATAGGTTACCAAGAGAACCCTAACTTCTTCTTGGAAGTTTTGGCCGGGGAGCGTTGTCGATTAATGACTGTGAGGGGTTCGAGACAGTACATGTGGAACCTGTAGTCAACGAGATCGTGTATTTGGCCTCTATCATGGGACTGGGCCCGGCTCTCTAGCGAAGTTGGTTAAACCTGACTTTCGCGGCGGCCGGGTGACAAACTCCTTGTGGTCCGGGTTCACTCCCGGGGGTAGGCAGAAAAGCCACATTTCTCCCAGATTAACGGTACCTATAATGGAATCAATGCCGAAGGGTTGCGATATCCATAGTACCGAGCCAAAGGGTTTACAACTCATGGTTTCTGGATACGTAAAAAAAAAAAAAAAAATCATTGGACTGGAGGTGGATAACTGATATTGAAGAGCCTGTTGAAAAGCACAGCCAAGAGCAGACCACCAAAGAGCTTATGGAGTTGCATTGTGTTTCACAGCAAGAAGTTTTGGAGGAAAGTGTGTCAGAGAAGGAGGGGGAGGTCACAGGAAAGCAACAATCTTCTGGCGAAATAAGAGAAATGCTGAAAACTTGGGAAACTGTTGCATCATACATTGAGAAGCATCACTCTAATAAGGAAGTGGCTATGCGCGCTGCAAATTTATTTAATGATAATGCTGTGTTGCATTTTCGCCAAATTTTAAAGCGTCGGCAAAAACCAATGTCTCTGGACATCTTTTAAGTAAAAAAATATAATTAGCTATGTATCATAATTATTTCGACTTTTTCCCCCATGCATATCGAATTCGCATTCCAGGTGGGTTTGTTCCGAGTTTGAAGAAAAGATGCAGATGATTCACTCTCCTTAACAATATGCATATAATTTTTTTTAACGCATTATCCTATTTTACTTTAATTTATATGAGAAAAACTGTTTCTCATAACGAGTGTTTCGCTTAACAAGTATGATTCTGGAACGAATTATGCTCGTTAAGCGAGGTTTCACTGTATTACATACAAAACATCAAGCCACTATGTTACCAATGCTACACTCCCTTAGTGTTGACAAATAAACAAACAAAACACAGTAAAAGACCATTCTCCACCCACACTGTATGTGATGGTGGCCCAGTAAAAGACCATTCTCCACCCACACTGTATGTGATGGTGGCCCAGTAAAAGACCATTCTCCACGACACACTGTATGGGATGGTAGCCCAGTAAAAGACCCTTCTCCACGCACACTGTATGGGATGGTAGCCCAGTAAAAGACCCTTCTCCACGCACACTGTATGAGATGGTGGCCTAGTAAAAGACCCTTCTCCACAACACACTGTATGAGATGGTGGCCTAGTAAAAGACCCTTCTCCACGCACACTGTATGAGATGGTGGCCTAGTAAAAGACCCTTCTCCACGCACACTGTATGTGATGGTAGCCCAGTAAAAGACCCTTCTCCACAACACACTGTATGAGATGGTGGCCTAGTAAAAGACCCTTCTCCACAACACACTGTATGGGATGGTGGCCTAGTAAAAGACCCTTCTCCACAACACACTGTATGGGATGGTAGCCTAGTAAAAGACCCTTCTCCACAACACACTGTATGGGATGGTAGCCCAGTAAAAGACTTTTCTCCACGCACACTGTATGGGATGGTGGCCCAGTAAAAGACCCTTCTCCACAACACACTGTATGTGATGGTGGCCCAGTAAAAGACCCTTCTCCACAACACACTGTATGGGATGGTGGCCAAGTAAAAGACCCTTCTCCACAACACACTGTATGTGATGGTAGCCCAGTAAAAGACCTTTCTCCACAACACACTGTATGGGATGGTGGCCAAGTAAAAGACCCTTCTCCACAACACACTGTATGGGATGGTGGCCCAGTAAAAGACCCTTCTCCACAACACACTGTATGGGATGGTGGCCAAGTAAAAGACTTTTCTCCACGCACACTGTATGGGATGGTGGCCCAGTAAAAGACCATTCTCCACAACACACTGTATGGGATGGTGGCCCAGTAAAAGACCCTTCTCCACGCACACTGTATGGGATGGTGGCCCAGTAAAAGACCATTCTCCACAACACACTGTATGGGATGGTAGCCCAGTAAAAGACTTTTCTCCACGCACACTGTATGGGATGGTGGCCCAGTAAAAGACCATTCTCCACAACACACTGTATGGGATGGTGGCCCAGTAAAAGACTTTTCTCCACGCACACTGTATGTGATGGTGGCTGTAATGATGTTATAAATAGGGATAATGTCAGGGGATGATTGGCATAATTGGGGAAGTCCCTGAGAGCATGGGTTTCACGGAGATATGGTGAAACGACAGGAAAGAGTGAGTCACGTGTGAATGATGAGATCTGGGGGATTGAGAATCAGGCGGTCATTCGGTGACTGGGCCCAAGAGAGAAAGGATGGGAAATGAAGCTGTGAAGATAAATGGAGAATGACTAGAGCATGTGGATCTGAATCGGCGAGGAATGAATGATCGAGAAGGCCAGCTGTGATGGTACCCTGTTTGATTGTCAAAGCCAGCTGTGAATATGTCAACGTCTATTGTCCGAATGCTGTAAGTGGATTCACCTGTGATTTGTGTATTGAGCTAACGTGTAAATAAACTCGTGAAATGTGCCGATGGTGTTAACCGTTGTTAGACGTTGTGTGACCATGAAGAGGATCATGTCTGCTTTGATTGAGTTGTGAACCTCTAGACCTCAGAGCCAGTGTTAACTCTGCACCACAGATAGCCAGTGTGGAGGAGACACAAAAGGGCAGTCATTACATTGGGAACCCGTCCTAAGTGCGAATACATTGTAAGTTATAAGTATGAGTTACAGTGCAGGCTTGTTCTAACTATGGCAGTACATTGGACGTAGTGTTTTTGTGGACAGAAGTAAAATTTAGGCAAACATCGGCAGCCGTAAGTTTTAAGTGACTATGTGTGTTGGAAGATGGAGTTTAAAGAAATGTCGGGGTATTATGTAAGACCAGGACATGCTGTCAAGGGCATTAAGTAAAACCGGGACAACTGAATTCCAGACTAGTCATTCTGAAACAAACAAGCTAGCCTGAGAAAAATTGGCAGAAACACGGCGAAATAATACTGGGTAATGTATTCACTTCACGTGTAAAAAAATTGCACAAGTTTCATCCCGCGACGTGGGAACGCTTGTTCGTCGCTGGAAGAGACTGGGTAAGCTGAACTTTTGACCCTTGTGGTGGGTAATCCACGACGGAAAATTGTAAGCAGCAGTATCCCTGTGATCGTTGTTTAACGTGGGTTTTGTTCGTCAAACAAGAGGTCATAAACCAGAGATACTAATTTCGGACTAGATTTCACCGCAAGAACACTGCATTGCCAGGGGCCAAGACGGCACTCAGTTACAGCGAGCAAGGTCATCAACAACGGTCAAGTACAACACAGTTGCAGATAAAAAGTCATCAGCGACAGCTAACTCGAGGCAACCGTACAGCACACCGTCCACAAGTGAATGCCTCAGGTCAAGAATACTTTTCAATAAAAAACGGGGTCCAGTCAGCACCAGAAGTAGTACTTTTACGACTAAATGTTTGTAATACGTCCGTATAGGTGAGTTCAAGTGTGTATTGTGTAGGCAAAGAAGGAGTGGTGTTTATCAACATTAATTACGTCACAAAATGTTTACAATTTATAATGGATAGACAGTAAAAACAGTGATTAATGTGATAGACTATGACTATTCAGGTTGTAGGGTAAAACTACATACATTCTCTGTAAGAAAAGTATTTCAGTGAGAATCTAACATTTATCAACAGTTTGTGGTGACAATTAAAGTGACATTAATATGCGCTAACTGTGAACATTTAGTGATCTGTGCCAACTGATCAACTTCCGTGTAGATTGTTAAACTACATGGTATAAAGACCTTTGGACATATTTGAATTATTGAATGAGCATAAACTAATGGTAGTCTTTTAAGATCATCTGCAGACTTAGACCACGACAGAAGACAAGAGCAGTGTCCTACAAAGATCAGAAGAGCGTGTCCAGAGACAGTAAAGACGTGCAGTGGAGCATCAAGGGCCATAAACCTAATCCAGTCCATTCTAACAGCAGAATAGCAAGGGAGCCATCACCAGGACCAAGGATAACGAATCAACTCATTACATTGTTTACATGTTTTCTATTTTCTAGTTTCAGATTCTTTGATTGTGATATTCTATTATTCTATTTAAGTAAAATAGATAATTTTTTTTGTTTATTAGTTGAGTATAAAAATTTGATAGGGGATATAATTCAATTTGAACTTTCAATTATTTAGTTAAAGAAGGATATAAAATAAATAATACGGGATTTATCTTAAATTTAAACAGTTTCAAAAGTAATAAATTACAGTAATCAGTTCTAAAATGTCAAACCTAGCAGAAT